GATCACAATGCCACGTGCGCAGGCGGTAATATTGTTTGCATAGCGGAGTGTGGATGATTGATATTTAGTCTAGTCTGCTACGAGACAGCCGTCTAATTTAGATAGTCGGCCGAGACTGTAACAAGCCGAATTTAAATAAATTTGTTTTGCCAAGATAAATTTGTTTTGAACTTCGTTGTGTTTTCTTATCGCCTATCGTTTGACTATGATATATGTGGTATCATGGTGCAGGTAGGATATATTATGTGGACTATGATATGGACTATGAAATGACTATGACTATGACATATTATATGACATATGACTATGACTATGACGTGTAGACTGTGACAGGAGTGTGATATATGTGGTACCACCTTCTGACATTCACCCCTCACAATAACCCTCGTGCAATCACCTCATTCCATTCACTCCCGCACCACTACTCACCTACAGTTGTTTATTATTTATTATGTTACAGTTTCGATTATTTATGTTTTGATCCTGGTGATGAACCCAAACATGAACGAGCTTGCGAACAATCCCATTAATATTTTCGCTCAAAATATATGATGAATAAACATAAGAAAACATTTAATTGTATTTCCTTTGTATTTATTTTCAGAAATTATCCGCTTTTAATGAACATATATGGCTTATTATTTCAGCACATTTCACAATGAGGTTTCCACTCAAATTGACGATGAATATATACAAGAAAAAACCTAATAGTATTTTACTTCTTTTTATAATGTTTTTACAAGGTAATAAATTCCACACAATATTATGTGGATTTGTGGGTGTAACATTGTACGTGGAAGTTTATACATGTTCAGCAGGCGGTCTCAGCGGCACTACAAAGAAACTAATTAGGTGTTTTTTCCCTGGTAAGAAGTGAGTTAATTTCAGTTAATCAGAGTATGCGATGATTGCTCATTAAGCACATCTAATAAAGATCGGATTAATTAAATGTTGAGAGCATATATAGCGAGAGCAGATGGACAGGCGCTCACATTGCGCCCTCAGAGCTCGTTATAGCCTGTGAAGCCACACCGAGAAATGTCACATCAAATCATGATCGCCTAGCCTAGAAATCTACAGAGAGTGGGGAGAAAATGATTGAGAGAGAGAAAGAAAGAGAGAGAGAGAGAGAGAGAGAGAGAGAGAGTGGGAGAGAGACAAGAATGAGAGCGAGAAAACAGTAGAGAAAGAGGGGAAGAGAGATAGAAAATGAGAAAAAAAAAACGAGGGATAGAAAATGAAAGAAATAGGGCACGCGGGAGACTGGACGAGAGAGAGGGGGGAAGAGAAGGAGAGCGAGAGAAAGAGAGAGAGAGAGAGAGAGAGAGAGAGTGGGAGAGAGACAAGAATGAGAGCGAG